AAACATTGCATTTACAACAAAATAAATTCTACTTTAAACCAATAAAACTGCTGAAATATCAGATTGTAATAATAAAACAACTGTGAAAGTACTATATCTGTTGTTTATCCAAAAAGAATTTGAAGGAAAAAAGAACTCTTTTAAAAAGCAAAATAGTAAAGATAAATGCAATCGAAATACTAACAAATTTTATGCATAAAACACTTTTTTATACGAAAGACTATGCTAGTCATTAGTTTTTTTACAAACTCTTCAAGATTTGTACATTACATATAAAAATATTACGACGAAAAAGTAATCTTTTGTAAGTAATTTCTAATCTTGTCTATTGTTCGATACTTTCAGTACGGCTCTTAACACACATCAAATGTTTCCTACAGACTGACATTCACAAGATGTAGAAGTTAGTAATTACGCTATTTTATCTTAACAACATTTGTATAATTACTTGCATTGATAATTGTTATTATAACGGTAAAAGCCAATGATATAGCCAAAATATCATTTGCCTACTACAAATGTATATCTCATATAAGACCAATATTAACTACAATTGTCGCGCCAATTGTCTACCATTGATCACATCATGTCTGTCAATTATAATAGATTCAAATATATCAACAGTGCACAGCTGTCGATCTTGGTAGACAATTCAAAAGATTAGAAAGTCTCTCTCATTGAGCTAAAATAGAAATTACAAAAATTTAATTTTTTATATAACACAGTGGTGACAAATTATCTACGTGATCAGCGTATCAAATATAAATAGATATTTGTTTCATTTGATTCCAAAAAGTGGTCAAGATAACTTTTGCCAAATTAGTTAGATTGTCTGAGATAACGTGACCTTACTGTATTTAGAAAAAAAGAAAATTGTATTTTTACAAACTTAACTACTATGTGTACTACACAAGGGTACAGAATGCGCTACACAAGTATTACTCTATGAACTGTAACATATAAAGTTAAACTCATATCAAATAAAGACTAATTTCTTTTTCTTCTTTGTATCAAGTACCATTTTCTAACTTCAGTTAATTATAAATATACGAATAATAAAATAAATGAGTAGCACAAACTTGATGTAATTTTCTTTCATATTGTTGCAAAAAAAAAAGCAAATTTACAGAATAAGCCACAGAGCTTATTTTCCTGATACTAATAAATACGTGCATAAAATAATACATAATTATACATGCTATTTAATCAAGAGACAAATGAACACGTGTGTCATTAGCTGCCAGTTTAACAAGTGTTTTCTTTACTCTAAGAACAGGTAGACGTGCTGCAGGTTTTCCATGCCAACATTCTTTCATTAACTTTCCCAAACCAGCCAACGTCTGTAAAATATATATCATCATGTAATAGTCAATTCTTTACACATACAAAGAATGCAGAAGAAATGTTAAATAAATATCATAAATAAAATGTATACTATTTCTATGTATTAATATTGTTATCCGATGTTTATTACGTTAATTATGCCAAACTTTTCATTCAAACAATTCTTCCTACACATACTTATTACATAATAGAAAATGCTAAAGTATAAAAATTGTGAAATAATATTGAATGTCAGTAAAAACTTATACTTTATAATCTTTTCATGACCTTTTGATTTTTCCATTATAACATTATAAGTTGAAAGAATAGAATACTTTTTTGGCACATAATAAAATTTCTTTTATCTCATATTGCTTCATATCTCTCTTATTTTTAGAAGTGAAAAAACTGTGTAAGGTAAAAAAGTTATCTGATTCCATACAAAGAATAAAAAACCATAAAATTAAACGAAATAATTTGATATTTACTGGATCAGAGTGCCATCTATTAGGAAGGGGTGGTCTATGTTGATCCAAACATACTAATTTTCTCATTTCTTCAATAGAGGGTTCTTGACTATTAGAAAGCCATTCGGAATATGGTGCTACATATTCTAATGCAACACCATTACTTATACATCTTCGGCATACTTCCCAAAGTATCAGTCCTAAACTGTAAATATCGGCGCGTCTAAAATTCTCCAAACATTCAATGTTTATCCTGAAAATATTTGTAATATTTGATTAAAGTTTTAACATATTCTTCCATTTATAACATAAACCAAAATTATACATTATAGTCTTTATTAGCTACAAATTTTTCTAGGAATAATTTTTCATAAGATAATAAGGAAAATATAATCAAGTAAAAAATATTACATACGTTTGCTCAAGAATCTCTGGACTCATATATCGTTTTGTACCTTGTTTCAAATCAATCCTATCTGTAGAAAGGCGTTCTTGTGTTACTGCTAATGCAAAATCAGCAATTACACAACTACCATTAGTCTTAACAAGAATATTTTTAGATTTGAGATTACGATGTGCCATAGCTGGTTTCCCTCTAGTTCCGTGAATTTCCGTGTGTAGATAGAGCAAACCATTGACAATACTCAAACAAATACTGAGTGTTTGATGATGTGTCAAAGAATGAGGTGTTCGATTTAAATAGTCGTACAGTGAACCGACTGGATGATAATGTGTTACTAGCCATAGTTGAGTGCAACTTGCTCTACTTGTCATATCGCTTCCAACGTAACCAAGAATATTATCATGTCTTGATGGTAACAACTGAGAATAGACTTCTGTTTCACGAGCCCAAGCTGCTTCATCTCGTGAAAAATATATTTTTACAGCAACATTTTCGCCATGCCATATTCCTCTCCAAACTTCTCCACCAAATCCACCATTACTGCCACTGCCAAGACATTCTACTAACGCTACTTGTTTAGCCAGTGTTCTTTGTACTAATAATGGCAAACCAGAACCTGATCCACTGGTTAAACTTCTTCCATCCAAATACTCCTGTTTTAATATATCATTTATATTATATTTAAATTAAAAATTGAAAGAATATAATAAAATTCTTTAGCATAAAATAAAAAAAATAGATTTCT